CTCAAAAATATAGAAATATGATAGTTTTTTGTGAGGCACCTTCTGCAAGTTGAGTGAAATACGTATGCATGGTTTATCTTTTGAGATCGATGAGCTTGGCTAAAGCTTTTTGTCGCCCTTTCCTCCATTTGCTTATTTTTCTCTTTTCTTTCCTCTATATTGCTTCTTCTCTCACAAAATTCCTTAATAAAACTAGGATAAATATTAAAACCTTAGCACAAACTTTCACAAGTTTGAACTAGGCCATCTACGATTTTGGACATCTTGAAATTGATGGATGAGCTTCGGGAGATGGGAACACCAACATTCATCGATTGAGCATTTCCATTGTGATCAAACAAGCTTAATTATTATGGAAATTCTAGTCACAAGTTTCACCTACTTCGTGGCTTCTTCATCCCATTGTGTGCTCTCTTCCCATCAAGCTTTGGAGACGCCGCCGTCGGTTTTGTGTACCATAATGTGTTCTCTTATGAGCTTTTGACGGTATGCCCCGACCATATCTTCACGTGCGGCTAGTACATTGCTGGTGTCGCATTCCACATGCACTCACACAAGGCACCAAAAAATTAAAAATGTCGATCTCGCCCAAGGATATGCATGATGATCGTTTATTGAACAAAAAAAAGGTTTATTTCACAAAATTGAAAAGCTCCCGGGATGTATGGAAAAGTAAGCCCTCAAACGGGTCATGGTCGGAAGCCTGGCCGAGCCGCCTTTGAAGTTATTAGGCGAGATTCGGCTGTTCAATTACGATTGTGTTTTATTATTTAAAATAACTTCAGGAATTGATTTTGGCTCACAACTACTCCAAATCAATTTCAAAAAGTTCCAAGGAAAAATACAATAAATTGAAATACTTATATAAAGCCTAAGAGAATTATTTCCAAACCACACTAAAATTTTCAAAATAATTCCCTAAGTAATTCTTTAAATATTTTCAAATACCCAAATAATAATTATTTGGAAACTCATGTTATTCCCTCTCTGTTGGAAAATTCAAACAGGCTCTCAAAAGTAACAAGGTCAAAGCAAATCAATCCATTCTATTTAATTGGTTAACATTTCAAAAA